TGCCTGCTTCTGGCAGTGAAGTAGGATCAGACACTGGTCTCATGCTTGACTTTCCAGCCTCCAGAATTGTGAGCCAAATAAACCTCTATTCTTTATAAATTACCCAATCTCAAGTATTTCTGTTTAGCAACACAATAATAGACAAAGATATCTATAAGGAGATAAAAGTCATTAAAAAAAATCCAAATAGAAATTCTGCAGCTGTAGGGGCCAGCAGTCGGCTATGTCACTGAACTCCCGTGTAGTCAACTGTGGTTTGAGTCCCAGACCCAGCAGCTTAAACTCACGCCGGGCACGTGCACGTGCATGCCCAAGATCCCGAGAGGAGAATGGAGGAGAAGGGAATGCGGTGTGGCCATCTCCACTGGGGGATGATTTCTCATTTTCTCTCTGTCTATCTCTGTCTTTCTAGTGAGCACACGCGCCCTATAGCAAAAACCTCTCAAAAAAAAGAAAGAAAGAAAGAAGAAGAAGAAATTCTGCTGCAGTAGAATACAATGAACGAAATGAAAATTTAAACGAAGTTCATCCACAGCGGAGGTAACTGAGCAGAAGGGCCTATAAAATTGAAGGTGTCATTTAAAATATTTAGTCAGAGTAGAAAAACAAAAATGAAAAGGAATGAAAAAAGTCTGCAGGGTTAATGAGCACCATCAGAAGGGCTGGGTTTACACCATAGGATCAGAAAGAAAAGAGAAAGGGGCAGAAACTTACTTAAAGAAATAATGGCTGAAAACTTGAAATCCAGAAAGACATATGTATATATAAAGTATAAAAGTCCAGTCAGGCTCATCCCAAATTTGATCATCACAGAACACAGGGAAGGACCACATGGGGAAGGCCCTGGGATGTGAGCCCCATGCGCACTGGGCAAGCGTGAGCACACCTGTAACCCAGGCTGACTGTGAGCCCCGCGCGCTCTGGGCAGGGTGTCCATGCCTGTAACCCAGGCTGACTGTGAGCCCCGAGCGCTCTGGGCAGGGTGTCCATGCCTGTAACCCAGGCTGACTGTGAGCCCCGCACGCTCTGGGCAGGGTGTCCATGCCTGTAACCCAGGCTGACTGTGAGCCCCGCGCGCTCTGGGCAGGATGTCCATGCCTGTAACCCAGGCTGACTGTGAGCCCTGCGCGCTCTGGGCAGGGTGTCCATGCCTGTAACCCAGGCTGACTGTGAGTCTCACACACACTGGGCGGGCGTGTGCACGCCTGTAACCCAGGCTGACTGTGAGTCTCACACACACTGGGCGGGCGTGTGCACGCCTATAACCCAGGCTGACTGAGACCAGGACTGGATCACAGTGTGAAGACCTAACTGAGGTGCCTGTTTCTGTTTCTCTCTGCCTGCCTGCCTGTCTGATGGTCTCTCTCACTCTCTGTCTCTCATAGAGGAAATAAATGAATAAACTTTTTTTTAAAAAATCCAAGACAAAGAGATAACCTTGAAAGTAGCAAGAGAAAAGGGACTCCTCACACAAGATGATCAGAGGATGTCTCAGCAGAAACTCTGCAGGCCTGGACAGAGTGAATATGTCCACGTGTGCTGCGGGTTGGGGTAGTGGGCGGGAACTGTTAACCAACACATTTATTTCTTTATTTTGCCACGCGCTCACTGGAGAGTGAGAGTTAAAAACAGAGAAAGTGAGAAATCACGCCACATCCCTCTCCTCCATTCTCCTCTCGGTATTTCAGGCACACACACTCACCTGGCATGTGGGGATGCTGGAACTTGAACTGCAGAGTTGGCCACGTGGGTTCAGCACCCCAACTACCACTCCACCTGCTGGCCCTAATCAAGAGTATTTTACCCCCAAAATACATGTATATAATTTTACCCAGCAAATCTGTTCTTCAGAAATAAAGGAGAGGAGAGGTAGACACTTCCCCACACATAAAGCCTGAGGGAGTTCACTGTCATTCAACCTGCTGTTGAGGAAATACTCATATGAGAACACTAGAAAGTATAACACTGTATTGGTACAGGAAGTAGACTGTCAAATCAGAAAACTCTAACACCGTGGCAGTATGTAAATTATATTTTTAGCATAAAATTTAAAAGACAAAAACATTAAAAGCTGTACTGCAATAGCTCTTCATGGATACACAGAATAAAGAGATGTAAATTATGGCATCAAAAACAAAATGTGGAATGGAGAGAATAAAATGCAGAGGTTTTACATATGATCAAAGTTAAGCCATTACCAGCTTAAAATAGACTATATAACTGTAAGCTGTCTCATGTAAGCACTGTGGTAACCAAAATACAAAAACCTCTAATAAATACCCAAAAGATAAAGAGAAGAGAATCAAAACATACCACCACAGAAAACCATCACATCACAAAAGAAAACAGCAAAAAAGGAAGAAAAGAACAGAGTCTACAAACTAGCCAGAAAAAAATTGGTAAATGACAACAGTAAGCCTTATCTACCAATATTACTTGAATATAAATAAACTAAATTTTCCAATCAAAAAATATAGGATGGTTGAATGGAGGGGAAAAAGACGTAACCGTATGCTGCTACTTTCAAAGGACTAATTTCACCTTTAAGGAAACACACGACTAAAAATGATGGGATATAAAAAGATTCTACACAAATGAAAACAAAGAGAACAAGGAAGGAATACCTATATTAGACAAACTAGACTGTAAGTCAAAAGCTATAAAACCAGAGAAGGTTATTACATAGTGATAAAGGATGTAATAAAATGATATATCTAAAGCACATAGGAGTGCCTGAATACATAAGCAAATATCAACAGATCTGAAGAGAGAACTAGAAAGCAATATAATAACCGTTGGCAACCTCAAGAGACCACTTTTATCTTGTTGTTTTTGCCAGAGGACACATGCACTCACCAGACAGACAGACCGAGAGAAAGAAAGCGAGAAATCAGCCCCCAGGGGAGATGGTCACACTGCAATCCCTTCTGCTCAGTTCTCTCAGAACGTGGGGTGCACAACACACTCCCAGAGAGCAGGGTCTCAAACACACAGTCAGCTACAGACCACACAGTAGGACGTACGCTTCATCACAGCACCCGCTAGCCCTCCGTAGACCACTTTTAACAGCAGATAAGCCACAGTATACTTTACGATGGACCAAATGGGTCTAATCCTCATGCACAGAAAGCTCCACCCAAAAGCAGCAGAGGAGACTTTCTTCTAGGTCATGTATGAGCTATTCTCCCAGGAGAGGTCATGTGTGAGGCCACAAAACAAGTCTTACCAAATTTGAGAAGACAGAAATCATATCAAGTATCTTTTCTGACCACAATGGTATAAAATTAGAAATTGATTTAAAAAAATAATAAAAATAAAAAACCTGGAAACGTCACATATATGTGGAAATTAAACAACCTACTTCAGGGCCAGCAGGTGGCATGGTGATTGAGGCACTGAACTTCCACATGGCTGACTATGGTTCGAGTCCTGGACCTGGCAATTTGCTTTCTCACGTTCCTCTTCTCTCTCTCTTGCCTCTCCCCAGTGAGTGCACATGCCCTATAGCTAATTAAAAATAATAATAATGATAATGATAAATAAAGTTAAATATTTTTTTCTTAAAAACACACACTCTGAGCAACTAATGGAACAAAACAATAATCAAAATGGAAATCCCAGACAAACAGAAACGGAAACACAAGTATTAAACCCTAGAATGAATGCAGCAAAAACAGTTATAAGCGGGAAGTTTATAGTGATAAACACCTACAGTAAGGAAAAAGAAAATGACAGAGCAAGAAATATCAATTCATCTGCCCGTAGGAAAAAAGGAAAAAGTACAGGGAGCTACCCCCAAACAAAACCATTTCTCAAAAGAAGACAAATGACAGTATGTGAAGAAAAATAAAATCAACAGGGAAATGCAAAGTAAGTTAAATTCATGAGATATCAACTTGCTAAATGGCTATTATTAAAAAGACAAAAGATGACGAGTAAGGATGTGAAGAAAAGGGAACCCTTGTGAACTATTGGTGGGAATGTAAATTAAGACAGCCATTATGAAAACAGGATGAAAGTTCCACAAAAATTTTAAAATATAAGCCATGGTGAAATGGCTATGTTGCTGGACTCCCATGTTAATTGACCTTGGTTCGAGTCCCGGACCTGGTGGCTTAAACTCACGCCGGGCGCATGTGCATGCGTGCCCAAGATCCCAAGAGGAGAATGGAGGAGAAGGGATTGCGGCATGGCCATCCCCCTTGGGTGTGCTTTCTCGCTTTCTGTTTCTCTGTCTCTCTCTTTCTGGCAAGCAACGCTCCCTATAGCAAAAACCTCTCAAAAAAAAAAAAAAAAGGAAGTATTATGTGATTCAGCAATCCAGCTTCTGGCTATACATCCAAAGGAAATAAAATCGCTGTTTTGATGAGATACCTGGACTGCCACGTTCCTCCCATCATCATTCGCAAGAGCCAAAATGTTAAATCAACCTAAGTGTTCACTGACAGATGAGTGATAAAGAAAATGTACACACACACTCCCCCCCACACACAGTGGAATACTCTTCTACCCTAAAGGAAAAGGAAATGCTGTCATTTGTGACAGCATGGATGACCCTAAAGAACATTATATTAAATGAAATAAGCCAGGCCTAGAAAGGAAAATATCACGTGATCTCACTTATACAGGAAATTTGTAAAAGTTGAACTCATAGAAACAGAAAAATAGTGGTTATCAGAGGCTGGGGTTGGAGCTGGGGACAAGTTGGTCAAAACACAACATTTCAGTTAGGCAGGAGTAATACATTTAAGTGACCTATTGAATATCACAGTGAGTATAGTCCATAATAAAGACATTATATACCTGAAAATCACTGAGAGAGTTGATTTTAAGTGATCTTATCCTGCACACAAAGATAAGTATATGAGGTAAAGTATATGTTAAGTAGCTTTATGTAGCTATTCAACTATATGTTATGTGTATCAAACATTATCCTAGGGGCAGCAGGTGGTGTAGTGGTAAGGCACTGGATTTCCACATGGCTGACGACAGTTTGAATCCCGAACCTGTTGGCTTGAAGTAAAGTCTCTTTACAATCTAAATGATGTGTAGCGATTGAATGTATAAATAATAATAATAAAGGAAAAAATGGCTCAATGTAGCCACTCCCCAAAGTTTACATCAATCAAAATATCTTTCTGTATATAATAAACTTATAAAAATAAAAAATAGAAGTACAAAGAAAATTATAACAGATCAATAGATAAATAAGTAAATGTTAAAAAATAAATAAAAATTATGCTATACATCATAAATACATACAATTTTGTCACTTTTTAGTTTATTCATTAATTAGCTATCTAAAAAAGAAAAATCTCAAATGAACAACTTAACTTTACACCTCAGAAACCTAGAAGGGGGCCAGCAGGTGGCATGGTGGAAAAGGACACCGGATTCCCACATGGCTGACTGTGGTTTGAGTCCTGGACCTGGCAGCTTGCTTTCTCATTCTCTTTCTCTCTCTCTCTCTCTCTCTCTCACACACACACACACACACACATACTCTGTCCCTCTCTGGTCAAATTAAAATTAATTAATTGATCAATTAAAGTTAAATAAAATAATTCTTAAAAAAAAAACCTGTAAGAACAAACTAAGCACATAGTTAGGAGAAAGAAGGAAATTTTAAAAATAAACAAAATTGACAAGGCTTTAACCAGACTAAGAAAAAAAAAGAAGATTAAAATAGAATAAGAAATTGAAGAGGTGCCATTACAACTGATACCACAGAAATACAAAAGACCCTGAGACTACTATGAACAACTACACTCTAACAAATTGGTTACTTAAATGGATAAATTCCTAGAAATACCTCTACAAAGTCTGAATCATGAAAAAATAGAAGTACTAAAAAGAGCAAAAATCAGGAAGGAAATGAAATCAGTAATTTTAAGTATCTCATTTAAAAAAAAAAAAAAACTAAAAACCTTGGGACCAGCAGATAGCATAATGGTTACATTGCTGGACTCCCACATAGTCAACCATGGTTTGAGTCCCAGACCCAGGAGCTTAAAACTCATGCTGGGTGTATGTGCATGCCTGCCCAAAAATCCTGAGAGCAGAGTAACAGAGAAGAGACTGCAGCATGGCCATCCCCCCAGGAGGTGAATTCTAGCTTTCTGTCTCTCTGTCTCTCCAACAAATGCACGTGCCCTATAGCAGAAATCTCTCTCTTTTATTTATTTATTTATTTATTTTGGAGAGGTTTTTCACTATAGGGCGTGTGCACTTGCCAGATAGACAGAGAGACAGAAAGCGAGAAATCACCCCCCAGGGGGGATGGCCACCCCGCAATCCCTTCTCCTCCATTCTCCTCTCAGGATCTTGGGCACGCACACACACGCGCCCAGTGTGGGTTTTAAGCCACCAGGTCCGGGACGTGAACCGCAGTCCACTACATGGGAGTCCAGAGACATAGCCATTACGCTAACTGCTGGTCCCACAGAAATCTCTCTTTAGGGAACCAGCAGTTAGCGTAATGGCTATGTTGCTGGACTCC